TTAGAGATTTATCTTGTAACGACAGGATTGAAAACATGTCTGGGCGATGCTTACTGACAGTTTGCGAACTGTCAGAGACTCCTGTGGGAACAGACCTTATACCTACGGCAATGACAGGGATTGTCATATTTGACAAAAAATCGATTGTAGAGATAATACTGATTTACGCAAAATAGCGAAAAATGACAAGACCTGTCAGTAGGCTGTCCCACTTTTTATGTTCATGACTGTACCTAATACAAATTTGTGAAGAAGTACTTTCAGTTTATTTTCGTTATTAAAGCTTGATGATGGTTTATTTGTTCGAGTAATTTATTTTCGATAAAAGTCGATGGCTACCTATGATTTATTTTAAAGTGAATTTTCTTTAGGCGGCGGTATTGGCGATTTCAAAAATCAATGCGGCACCTGGCGGAAATATTTGGAACTAACTTAAAGAGTAATAGATCGTTTGTTTACATGCCGTATTAGAATATTTTCTTGCTTTTTCGATGTTTTCTGTTCGTTCCTAATTTAAATTACGTGTTTTGTGTCGAAAAGTGGGAAATAATAATGGGAAAGCTTTTATTGTGATTCTGTGAGGTGGTACTATTACCGGAATTCAATGGCATCTCCACATCTCCAAGTCCAAGCGGTCCAAGCATAACACAAACTGCTGTGTATACGAATGCCATTCCCGAAAAGGTGCAGACCAGAACTATTAATTTCCATTATTTTCCTAAGAAAAATAGTGATCGTGCTTTCTACGCCAGCCTGCAGGTAGGATAAAACTGAGGATAAAACTGTGGCCAAACTCAAAAACAGGCCTCCATTTTCCATATTTTGTGTTGTATGGATACGAAATGCACAAAAAAAAGTCACAACGTTCAAAATTTATAAAATATAGTAAAAAACCACCGAAAAAACTACGAGAACAACGAAAAAATAGCCGAAAGAAAAACGAATGCATATAAATACAATGCTGAACGTCAAAATATTACTCGTTCTCCGCCATATTTGTTTACAAATGTCAGCGCCCCCATCGGTAGTCGAAATCGCCAATATTTTCTTCAAAATGGAGAGTGATTTGAAGGACGCTTCACTTAACGTCACGTTTTGGGAAATTTCGTTACACGAGAAAGAAGAAAGATATAACGTAGAGAGACGGAAAAAAACAGCTAATGACAATAAAGGCCGACGAACGATTAACACAAACCAAGGATTTATAAACAAGGAGGATTGCCTATTATTGTCAAGCGCCGATACCCTTGTGACGTCACTAGAGATACGCGTCTCCCTTTTGCGTGGTCCTTCGTTTTTACCCCGACTCATACGCTAAGTCTAAAAGTTGTACGAAGGGGATGGTTTTTAATAAGTTTCACTTCTACTACGTTTGCACATGATATTTTTTTTTTTACATCAGGATCGTCGGCGGCAACCCTTTTTTTAATCGGCCGCCTCTTTCAATCGGCCGCCTGTGTGTTTTGAACACACTGCACACATGGTAGCGGAGGCCCTGCGTGTGATATTTTCTACAAAATTTATCTTTTTGTCAAATACCTTTGGGTACTTTTTAAATTGCCCGTGCAATATGAATAATGTCCATTTATTTACATTGCCTGTAACATATACAGGGTGGGGACTTTAACTGGAACTAATTCGCTAAACCCTTTGGATAAAATATGCGAACAAAACGCAAAAACACGTCGATTAAGATTTTTTGCTCAAGAATTTTTTACAATAACTTTTTTATACAGCCAAGAACAGCTGTACGGTTATCAACTTTATTTTTTTAGATCGTAGCCCCTGTATATAATGACATTTCTGGATTCTGCGGAAAATTCTGGACATATTTCATTTACAATGTCATATACCTATTTTCAACTGTTTCGGAAATATTGACAGTTGAAATTGACTTTTTTGCAACTTTGACAGGCTTTAAAACCTAAACGGGGTGTTGTGAAATTAAACAACACCCTGTATAAAACAATTTATGCGAAAAAATCTTAAGCAAAAAATCTTAATCGACGTGTTTTTGCGTTTTGTCCACATATTTTATCCGAAGGCTCTCGCGAATTAGTTCCAGCTGTATATTATACAGGGTGTATCAGGTATGAGTAGAAATATTTTACCATGACATAATAATATGGCCGATTTCAAGCTAAAACTGTCCTATTAACCATTGTTCAATTGTTAGTATTTTCGGAGTTATCGCAGAATTTAAATTTAGAAAAATGTTAACAACGTGACATCGTACAGGTATTATCTCTGCCAAAATATAAATGTAAGTGGAACTGGTAAATTTGAAGTTTTTTTTTTGCAAGGAGTCTATTTATTTCCATCTGTTTACGTTTTGGTTTGTTATTGGCTTTCAAATAATGTAAATAATAACTTGCATTTTTATCACTTTTCTAGTGGAAATAAAAAATTTGCAGTTTTATTAAGTTATGAATTGCACTGAATGACATTTTTGCAGTAAACATTGAAAAAAAAATTTAAATAATACTTACTCAGCTACTTGCCAAATCCTCATTGTTAAAAGGTTCTCAAAACACTCAAATCAACACGCAAATTTTGCACACTCGCACTTCCCGTATCACGCAATCTTTGTAAAACGGGCACAATGTTCTTTCATTAGGTGGGTGCTCTTGGGAAATCTTTCCCTGTAAATTCTGACGGCTGAATGGGCATTTTGCAACGATTCTGCCTTAATAAGTATCTGCATATTTGACGTTTGTTTAGATTTTATTTGCAAAAAAGAATGAATTACGTGCGTTTCCAATGCTTTAACAACTGACATAAAACAAATCAAGTGTGTGTTGTGCTATGTTGCCAGATGTTTAGATACCGATTAACGAGTGAAATTTTCATTTTGTTTTTTTCAATTTTTCACTATTGTTGTTGACTAAAAATGCCTAATTACTTAATAATTGAATGAACTAAATTTTTTTACATCTAATAATGATTAAAATTTTCTTTATCTTTGAAATATTCGTCAAAAAATGTCAAAACTTCAAAGGCCTTTTTCTTAAAAATGGTTGAGTTTGGACCCCATATAGTATAAACTTTTTTTGTTCCAAATGGGCCATATTTTCGCGTGTTGAAATTTTTGTAGTCAAACCTGATACATCCTGTACATAAAATACAGGGTGGCCCATCGAAAACAGTCCAGCAAGGTTTTGGGCTTTGTATGTGAAAATTAAAAAAAAAAAACTCGGACCCGTATAATTTTGCTTTTAGGGGGACATATTTACACATTGATTACATCACAGTAATTTCAACCCCTTAGCGGGGGTGGCATTCACCCTTATTTTTTCAAATGGGAAGGGGTATGTTGTGATACATCTTTTGAGAGGGCATCAAATTTTCTTTAAAATGGCGCTTCGTTATTTAAATTTGAGCTACGCGTCGCCGAGCAATGGAATTTCAAACATTTTACTGCATCTCTTATTTACAAATAGGTTCGTGAACAAAAAATCGTTTTTGAACTAACAAATATCAGTCGACAATTCAACTTTATCTTCGGTGAAGTAGTTGATGTGGATAGTTCAATATTTCTGTGAGTTTCTTTGGTGTACATTCGATAAAAAATGGTTTATTCCATTGCGGAGAGAGTGGAAATTATTGAATTGTATTTTATTAACAATCAATGTGCAAGAGTAACGGCAACTTTGTTTAATGAGAGGCATGCAGAAAGAAACGTGCATCATGGTTACGTCCTAGAACTAGTAGCAAAATTCCGGCAAACTGGTTCAGTGACAAACCCAAAACGGGATATTGAAAATCCGGTGAGAAATGAGGCAGTAGAAGTAACTGTTCTGGGTCAAGTTACTATGGACCAGAGTACCAGAAAACTTTCTGATGTAAGAGGTGTTTCTCGGACGACTGTACAGAGAATTCTGAAACATAATAAATGGTACCCATATAAAATTCAACTTCTTCACGAATTGAATGAAGATGATAATGACCGCCGTTTACAATTTTGTGAAATAATGTCCGAAATAATTACACATACTCGCAACTACCTTTTTAATGTTTGCTTCTCAGACGAATGTCAATTTTTTCTCAATGGTACTGTTAATCAACATAACTGTCATTATTGGTCCGACACGAATCCAAGGCTTCACCATGAGGCTCGTACTCAACATCCTCAAAAATTAAACGTTTGGGCTGGTATTTTTGGTGATCACATTATTGGGCCATATTTCATACAGGGAAATTTGGATGGAGATACTTACTTAGACTTGCTGGAGCATGCCGTCAACCCAGCACTGATCGAAATTATGGAAAACGGCCAACGTTATCATGAAGTAAATCCGATATTTCAGTAAGATGGAGCTCCTACCCATTATGCATGAGCTGTACGGGAGTTTTTGAACGAAAACTTTCCTGGATGGATTGGAAGGAGGGGTGCTATCGAATGGCCCGCGCGATCACCCGATTTATCTCCCCTTGATTTATTTTTGTGGGGACATCTGAAATTGAAAATTTACGCCACCCAGCCTGAATCCTTGGAAGATTCACGGAACCGCATTACCAGTGAATGTCGACTAATTACACCTGATATTCTTCACAATGTCGGAGCACACTTTGAACAGTTGCTGTACTATTGTATGGAGGTGAACGGCGGACATTTTGAACAGTTAATAAGATAACACGTAAGTACTAATCAATATTAATTTGATTAAATTTCTCGGCAACCCATATTACAAATTTCAAAAACGAAGCGCCATTTTAAAGAAACTTTAATGCCCTCTCAAAAGATTTATCACAACATACCCCTTCCCATTTGAAAAAATAAAGGTGAATGCCACCCCCGCTAAGGGGTTGAAGTTACTGTGATGTAATCAATGTGTAAATATGTCCCCCTGGAAACAAAATTATACGGGTCCGGGTATTTTTTAAAATTTTCACATACAAAGCCCAAAATCTTGCTGTATATCGTAACTGCGCGTCAATCGCAAATCTATAATTGCATGTCAAGTTATTTTTAAATCAGTATAACAATTTATTATTTTCAGTATCTCCCGAGACGGTAGTCATCCCAATCATCTCCTGTATTTTTGGCTTTCCTTTGTTGGCACTGCTGGTCATATGTTGTCTGCGCAGAAGGGCGAAGCTGGCTCGCGAGCAAGCGCGTCGCAGGAACATGGACTTTGATCACGGTACTTTCTCTATTGTCAGATTCAGCTCTTTACACTATTTAGGTAACTAATCTGCCGCTGTTACTTGTTTTTTTTTTTTTTTTTTTAATGTCAGTTTTTCTGCTTGATTGATTTTTATTAAATGATATCTTTTTTATTTTCATCTAATGTTCTTATCAAATAACCAATTTGCCTTGATTTTATTACCTATTTATTTTATTATTTTGCTTCGTTTCGCTTTTTTCTACTTTTTACTCAAATGTTGCATTATGAGATTTTCCTTTCAATTATTTATTATTCAAACACAAACTACACACAATAACTTTAGTGCTAAAAAGTTTAATAGGTATACAAACTAAATTAACTTTCACGAGAAGTTTGTTTGTTTGTTATCGACAACGTTTCTATATTGAAGGTAGGTTTCTTCTAGAGCACTCTTGAATTTTACAGGACGTTCCCGAGCAATAAGCCTACGTTCTGAACGAGCAATGAGCCGGGGATTTCCATCGCTAGAATTGGACACTGTTGTCGAAGAACGTTCCGAACTAGAAGCCGAACAAACTGTTGTGGAAATGATGACACCAGATGGTGATGCTAATCCGGTGGAAGAAAGATAGCAGGAAAGGAAACGGGATTCTTGTACAGAAAGGTCAGTATGGGAATTTTGTTAAAAATAAATCTGACAGTAATGAAACTAACAGTTACGTTAGGATATTTTTGGGTCTAATACAATAATAGCTGGTTATGATTTTATATAAGTATAAGTAAAGTTTATTAAAGTAAGCAAAGTATATACCTATTATGAAAGATTCAAGGGTATTGGATATATGGGGTCATTGATCCGAAATTTCTCTTTTTCCGGGGAAAGTTTTGTTTAACAAAACGACCTAAAAATCCTTTTTTTTTCGCTTCGTAATACAATCAATTGGCTTTTTTACCCAGCGAGATTAATCGCAAAATTTCTGACGAAACCGTGTCAAGAGCCAAGGGTTATCAGTCGGATCCCGAAACAGTGTCCTGATTGTGTCTTAAAATACGACTCATGACTCCTGGTTCCATGAACAAACCGCATGTTTTGCGACCGATAAGAATCCCAAAAGCGTCATCAAGCTGCCAATACAGATAAGCTTGTGAGTCTCCTAGATTCATTCAGTTCTGTAACGAAGTTCTGGTGTTTAGTGTTGACGTCTTTCTGCTGACTCTCTTTCCGAGACCTTAGGTAAGTATTTTAATTTATTCATCATGATTGTTGTTTTCTGTCTCTTATTTATTTTCTTCCCTGTGTAAAGAACAAAACCATTGGGTTAGCTTCACAACTTAAACCTCTTTTCCAACATGTATCTTACCCTGAATAACAAGGCCGTTTTGTCATTCCCTTGTCGAGAACACCCGTGACTTTTTACCCATTAAGAACTTTATTTTCTGTATTTTTTAATCCTTAAATTTCCATGTAACTTGTACCATCAAGGAACGCCCTATACCGGACGCTCATTGATTTCACTCCCTATCATTCCAAATGTCCGTATGTATTTTCTATCATTTCTGTATATTCTTTGCTTTTCTTTCATTTCCTAACCAAGATTTACCATTTGTTCAATAAACCATTGTTAGAGTTTAGTAAGAAAAACTGATTCTTTTATTTCCTTTGGAAAACCTCGAACTAGCATTCCAACTAACTGCGTACAGCTCAGGTAGCAAGAACCCGCACTGGAAGAGGCAATCTAATGAGATTACTAAAAAGTATCAGTTCAAAGTTACCTAGATTTTCAGTGGGACTTTAAACACAGTCCCTGGTGGCACGCTACCGCAGTACAAAAAAGGCCTTTACCAGTGCTAAAACAAAGTCTCCCTTACCCAACCGTCGCAACCAGGTGGCGGTGGTAACATTTGTAAGGGACGACAAAACTGTTGGATTTTCTTCTTTAGTGTCCCCATAAGGTTCTTGTTTGAAATCCTAAAATATACAAAGGTCTGATCCAGAAGTGAGAGTAACTTGTTGATTGCGTTTCGGTTCGGCTTCAATAGGTGCGAGGTGTTCTTCTGCCCTCATTAATTTGTGAAGTTTGTTCAGGGGTACCCGGGAGAGTTTCAGAGGCTTTACTTCGGGTTACCAATCATCGTTTCTTGTGTGTATTCTGGAAAGTGTTAATGGATCTTCTTGACTTACAGGTTTATCATTCAAGAAATTTTTACTGGAAATTCTGAATTCACATCTTGGTGGTAAACTGATTAAGAATACTCCTTTGAGAATCATTATCTTGGTCGTTGGGAAACGACTTGATACTTTAGTAGGCCTTGGAAATATGGCTATGCAAAGAGCATCGGATAAATCTTGAATTAACGTGGTGTTGATTGACATAGATATTTACCGGCAAGTTGCTTCACTATTGCTTAGTTGAAGTATTGGCTTATGAAATCCTGGTTGTTATCTTTTAGGAATCCTTCGCTCAGTGCCAAATAGAGAGTAAGAGGAATCATGGTGGTAGGATTTGTAGTGGGTATTGAGAAAATATGGAAATATGTGAAAATGTCTGGTGACAACATGCGGAAATGCAGGTTGAAGACCGCATGGTGTAGTTTGAGAAGTATCCATCTATGCTATTCTAATAATATCATAGTACTTAGGTATATCTTTTTCGTAATCGTAGATATAAGGATGCTGGAGTAATGAAGTAGTGTATCTTTTTGCAAATGTTATAGATACCTTGAGGTTGTTGCAAGCCTGACTGATCTAAGATGTTTCTAGCTTATAGAAAATGGGTAATGTCGAACATGAATTTATTTAGTTCGGAGTCAATTTTGTTCGCTTCTTTTTCTATAGTTTCTTCGTTGTGAGTTATAAAAGAGATCGTGTGGTTGAACTCCTCCATTATTTTGTTGTTGAGACTCATCCGCTAATTCACTTAGGAGACGATATTCTCTTGGCTATGTTGCAATATTGCGATTGCGGCGTCGTACCTTTGGGCGTCTTCGTGGTCCAGGTTTCCATATATGGTTTCAATAACACAACACTTCCGAGACCATTAAAAATTCCTCTTCTGGATCATTAGATAGGTAAAGGATGGTACGAAGTTTTTTTTAGCGGCTTTAAACAGAAATTGTAAACTAATTACCGTTCTTCTCAGAGCGTGCGCTGACGTGCCCCAGGGCGTCGAAGCTCGGGGTTTCAAAGTTCTGAAAAGAAAGCACCTCTAGTGATGAGTGGTCTGAGTGGATCTAGATTATTTTTTTGTTGGTGAGGGAAAACTGATCCAAAATAATCGAACACGGTCTGGTTTACTTAAATTGAACGGGATGGGTCGAATCTGGTCAATCGAATGCAGCTCAGATTAGATGATAATCCTGTGGGGGATTCACAAATAATTTGGCTGTCAGGTTGGGGTGTGTGCAAATTGTAATCGAAATTTTGCAGGGTTTTGAAGTATGGGTGACTCAGTCCATTTTATATTGCTGTTCTTACTGATTCGTATTGTTTTTTCAGAAACTGAAGTTCTTTAATCATTGGGAAGAGGTAAAAAAAGTGGATAAAGTCGTGGGTATTACTCTGAATCCTTACTGGTCTCAATTTGAGGTGAAGTATTCCTGGGTTGTCCTTCAAGTCCTGAATCAGGAGGTTGTGACTCTGAGCGACGGCTGAGGAACATCTGTGAGGCATTTCTAGAGTCATTTTCTGGAAGATTTTTAATATTTTTTTTTATGTATTGCCGTGTCTTGAGTGTCAATGGTCACAATATTGTCAGTGTTTACTGTCTTGAGAGAGAATCTTGGAAGTAGTTTGTACCGCTTTACAGTTTTCCTGGTGTAGATCTTCGTGTTAGGTTTGTAGGTGAGTGGATTATGCCCGATTATGTTTCTTTTTCCTATGTACATCTCTTTGGATTTATGTAGCTTTTGATTCAATTTCCTGTAGATAGTCTTCGTTTATTTTCAGGTGCTGCTGGGGTGGGGGGTGTAAGGGGTGGAAGCAAAATTAGATGCTCACCCAAATTTCAACCTCACCTGCCCAAGTGATAACGTTATTCGGCGCACCCTGCTAGATAACTAACGAGGGTCTAACGACCGAGCGGCTGCCGAAATAAGCAGTCACTACTTGCTGGCCAACAGCTCCGGGTGAAAGAGTTGGCAAGTGAAAGGCACCCTCTTGTCTGCGATCAAGAAATTGACCCCGCAGGCGGATAAACCAACAAAATGGTCAACGGCATAAGGATACAGAAGGTAACGGGAAACATCTCAATTGCAAAATGTTACTAATCATGAAAATTGGAAACCAAGATTTGGCAGGGAGGGAGAAACACACGAAAACGTCGTGAGAGAAGTCGACGGATAAGAAGATCCGATCTGAGAATAGGAACATGGAATGTTCAAACACTCTACGATGCGGGAAGATTGACCAACTTACTGTTGGAAATGCGGAGAGTGGATATACAAATACTAAGGGTGTGTGAAACAAAATGGCCGGATGCAAACAATTTCGACTCAGGAGATTATATAATTTAAACATCCGGAACGAGAGATGCATTTCATAGAAACGGATTGACTATTGTACTAAATAAATCCTTCAGCAGATCAGTACGAAACTTTGTACCCTTGTCAGACCGAATAATGCTACTACAGCTGACGATGAGACCTGTAAATGTGAACATTATCCAGGTTTAGGCTCCTATACTACGGAACATGATGATAACGAAGTTCAAGAGTTCTACCACCAAATTAATGACATAATGAAGGCGACAAAAAAAACACGATACACTATAATTATTGGAGATTGGAATGCAAAAGTGAGCAGAGAAACAACAGCAGATGTCACCAGACAGTACGGCCTATGAATACGTAACAACAGAGGAACAGGACTTACACAGTTTTGCCAAGATGAAGAATTCGTGATTACAAATACGTGGTACAATCTTCCATACAGGAGACTGTACACATGGACGTCCCCCCAACACACGCAGAACACAAGAAACAATCATCAAAAATCTCAAAAATACAACAACATATACTAAAGGACCCCGAAACAATCAAAAAACTAATCAAGAAAATAAATGGTAATATATATACAACTAAATATATCACTTCCCCTTCCCCTTGATAACAAAAGTGTCGAAGAGTCAGCAACTGGTAAAACTAGCTGGTAAAACCAAAGGAGAAGAAACGCAAAAAAGAATGTATGACGCAGGAAATATTGAACCTTATGGAAAAGAGACGAAAACACAAAAACAACAATCATAATGAGTACAAGAGAATACATCGGATAATACGCAAAAAAATTAGGTAAGCAAAGAAAGTGTGGCTCCGGGAATCCTGCAAGGAAATAGAGCTGCTTCGGACCATACACAATGACTTCAACTTACATGAAAAGATAAGATATCGCATATACAAAAAGAAAACCACAATAGTGCTGTATAACGATGGTGAAAAGGCACTGTAAACAAAGGAAGATCAGGGTAATGAATGGCAGCAGTATATTCAACAACTGAACCCTATGCTGGAACAACGTTCCAAATGACAATATGTGTAAAAACGGTATTTCCGTGGAACAGCGTTGTATGTACCCTGGATAATCCGCCTACTTAATAGCGGGGGCATAGGATTTTTTTTGATGGGTTGTTGATGCCATTTTAATTAGTCCAGTTTGTCCTTTTTGCGGAA